AAACCACCTCCAAAGTTTGAAATTGAAGCATTATTTCGACTAGTTATGCTGTACACAGACACATAAATAAACAAAAAACACACATCATTGTAAAATCAATACATTCATCACTTCGTTCAGAATCTAAAAGGTCAAACAAAGTAGTGTACATGCAGGTATACACGAAGTCTTCTGAAAAATCAAAATCAGTGCATCAATATTACTATAACCACATTGGCATATACTCACCTTTATGTCTATCCCAGGGCTTCTGGTGATCAACTGTTTGGCGATATCCTCGCAATGTGTTACGTCCGTCAGGTTTGCCGCCTTCGCCAGATCGGCGTCTGATTCCCAGTTCCTGTTGGCCGAATGCGCGAACACCCCGGCTGGGGACGCGTGCGTTACCCGTGTCGTGGTTACCAGCCCGACGGCTTTTCCCGCRGCTATCGACCAGTCGGCTATTGAGTCCGTCCGGTTTTCAGGCGCCATCGACCCGGGACAGTCGTTGAGCTTCACCGAGGCAGATATACCGATAGTCTCGTAGTTGGTCTTCACGCCCGATAGGTAAGCGGTAGCCGTACATGCCGAGTCAGCCACTTGTTTGTCCACGCAATAAGTCTAAAACAATTAGTGGCACGATAACGGATTAAGTGGGTCGCCAGAGATTGCACTTGATACAACATCACATTGTAACAATATTTTAAGAGCCTTGTATTACATTTTCAAGATTTTCTACCCAAAAAATTAATTTTTATCGATATTAATTTAAAAAAAACTAATAATGATCGAAAATTGCATATACCTATGAATACTTTAACTTAAGTCAAAATTTTTTGAAAATTTCATGGTGGATAGAATATACTTATATAAACATTCGGTGAAAAAATCATTAATCAAAGGTCATTTGTTTTAAAGTTACATCAAAAATCAAAATTTTGTTTCATTTGATTTTGTCGAATTGAACTGTTTGAATTGACTGTACATAAAATTTCCTGTTTTTCCCTTAATTTTTAGTTTGTTTATCCCGATTATTTAGAAAAATATTGAAAAATTTTTAATATTGACTCCCCAAAGTACCAACTAGATTCACTTTCTGATCGAACGAGGTGCTGAAGTCAAAAATCTAAGCTCTTTTACTACCCCAAAACGTGATGACAGACACAAAAAAAAAAGCCGGGTAAGTCGTGGATGTCGCTCTGCTGTACAGTAGGTCACAAGTGGGTTACGGATGGAATTAAATTTGAATCCAATGATATTATTTCATTGTATACGAAAAACGATTCTGAGCGAAGACAATTTATCTGTCTAGAATATATTATAGATTATTAAAAATTTTCAAATCYTAGATTTAAAAAGAAAATTTTTTATGAATTTCTAGATTAAAATAATTCGCGAATTTTCGAGATTTTTGTGATTTTTCACACATGTTGTCAAAATTCAAATGTTGAATGCTTATAAAAAAAAATGTGTAAGTCACATTTTTTTTTTATAAGTGTTTATAGTTCAAATTTTTACGAAATCTGTCGAAAATTTGMAAATTATTTTGAAATTTAAAAATCATAAAATTGTTTGTGTCATTAACTAAGGATTAAAAATACAACACTAAGTTTTCTATAAGTTTTCCTTCAAGTAGCTAAAGAGAAAACTCGAAGCATCGTTATAGGACAAATTTTAAGTGCGTTTGAATTTTATATTTTTACGAAATAGCGTAACGATAACGATTTATCCTGAAACGATTTTAAATATTTGTGATTAGGTATTCAAAAAGTATACTTGAAAATTTTACCAGTTATTTAGATTGGCATTTTCTTTACATGATTTAATTTTCAAAATATTTTGACTTTTTTCGAGATATTTATAAACAACTGAAATTATTTTTTGAAGTGTCGATAATGTTTGTTTGGCCCAATCAAAATACTTTAAAATGTAATACAAAGTTTCTCATAAGTTATTCTTATAGTGATTAAAAAAATAAAAGAATACATAGGCACAATTTTTTTTTATTAGCATTTGAAGTTCAAATATTGACAAAAATTCGTCAAAACCATGAACATTTGCCAATTATTTTGAAGTTGAAAAATCATAAAAATGTTTGTGTTCATAACTAAGGATTAAAAATACAACCCTAAGTTTTCCATAAGTTTTTCTTCAAGTAGCTATAGAGAAAACTCGAAGCGTCATTATAGGAAAAATGTTTTGAGTGTTTGAGTTTTAAATTTTTATGAAATCAGGTATATTATTATGAGGAATTATGATAACTACATGAATTTTTTTTGGAAAAATTGATTAACCATACCTTTTGCAAAATGCGTCCTGATTGAAAAATAAAATATTTGTTTCAAAATAGAATACATGACAATATTTAAATATAAAATATCCTAGACTGACAAATCATCTCCGTTCAGAATCGTTTTTCGTATACAATGATACCTATCATTGCATTCAAATCTAACCTACCCTAGTCAGAGGTCCACCCCACCACATAATGTACAGCAGAGCGACATCCATTTACCCGCTGTTTAATATTCGATTACTCTTTGTTGTCATATAACAGTTAAATAAAAGTTCATGTTTATTATAAAATATTATATACCTTTATGGAGGTTTGATAATCTTTTCTGTTTCTCTTATTAACGTTTAATATAATTCGTGATTTTTGATAGTTTAATCAAATACTTAAACAATGAATATATAGTACCTACGTGTTTATATTATGTTTATTTAAAATATTTAACAGAAATGATTGCAATAATTGAAATCAATTAAAGCATTTGATTTTGATTTTTACGTTTCAATTGCCCTTATAACTGTGATTTTAATCACCAGCTGTTTTGTTTATTATTTATTTAGGATTCTCCTCCACATAACGCACTGTTTTTGACAGCTGTCATCCCTGTCACCGCACATTTAATTATGCATAATACCTTTGCACTTTGACCACATTTTTCTTAGGTCTCTAATAATTAACACCATTACCCTTGTCATCAACAGTGACAAAATTGTCAGATAACGAATTTATCAACAATTTAAATTAAATTACCATTAAAATTAATAGTACACAAAACTAAAAGTTAGGTGATGATAATGCTCATTTTAATAAAGAACAATAAAAAATATATTATATATTTGGCTATTGTTTTAAAATATCATAGTACAGTTGTAGTACACCCATTATGTTTATGTAAAATGAAGTAATTACGGATTTATATTTAATGTGAAATAAAGATATTTTACAAACAATTTTTAGTTATTTTTATTCTTTACCTTATAGTATATTGCATTAAACATACATTTCAAATATATCGAATTTTAAATTATTTATTTTTATATACAACAAATGAAAAGCTTTTTAAGTACTTATAGCATTTATGTTGTAAAACAATATACTAGAATATAGTATAGTTTCAAAAATGTCATCACTTTTAAATTAAAAAGTATGTAATGCTCAACTCTTCTGAAGAAAACAAGACTAGTTCCATTTTTGTAATTTATATTTTATATTTTTAAAATTTACCCTATAATATTATTATAAAATATCCAAGTACCTCCTAAAATGTATAAGTTTTAATTTAATTAACTAGGTATCTATTCAAAATATTTACGATTAAACAAACGCCAATATTTAATTCACCAAAATAAATATTGAAACGGATGATATCATTTTTAACTATTTTATTTGAAGTTTTAAATACAGTACAACAATCAAAAGCAGATAAGCATGTAACATGCTGCATGTTCACATATGATATTTAACTTAAATTATCGATGATTTTTGTTGAAGAATCGAAATTATGTACCTACTTAGCTTATAATAAATTAAATTGAACCAATTGAAATTTATTTTAAATATAAAGCTATCAAATTTTTAACTGGCATAATGATAAACATATTTGTATCTAAGTTTTCCAATCGAATGTTATAGGTACAATAACCTATGTTGTGATGTAATATCATAATATGTATAATTTATATTGATCTAAAACGTACGAAAATGTTCAAGCAATTAAAAAAATATTTTTATGAAAATCTGTAGACGAATAAAATTAATTGTATGAATGCTGATTTACATAAAAATGATTATACTTTTTTGGCATAATTAACGTTCTAACCCCATGAGTGTATACATTTTGTTGACTTCACAATAACATAATTAAAATCAATGTTACAGATTTCGGCTACAATTCAAAATTTCGATCAATGTAAATATTGATCTATAATATAAGGTATGACCATGTGTCATCCGGTGGAGTAAATATTAATGGTTTTAAAAATTAAATTATATTCAGTGGTGATATTGGTAAATAAGTATGTTCGAATTTTATTTTTATATTTTTATTTCAATATCACCTTTGACATGCCAACAAATGGGAATTTCTCAAAACTCAAGTACTCATTCTCGCCAGAACGTTTTTCCATTTGACCTTTGTAGATACGCGATGCCGTCAACGTAGTCAACGACATACCGTCACCCAGGAACATGATTATATTTTTGGCGACGCCTCTTTTATTCACGTACTTGACTTTCTCGGTCACCTTCTCCTTACCGTTTTTGATCCAGTACTGTTTGTCTACAAGAAAAAAAAATTCAAGCTGTTATTTTTTTATTTTTGTCTTTACATATATATAATATATATACATATTATATATACAATATTATACATGTATGATGTTCCGTGAAATAACAMTTCACTTGAGACTTAAGTCCGACTTTAACGAGTGCCAGTTGTACAATGGTGAACGTGAGTGAATTTCTTTCAGATGATTTGGTTTTGTTGAAAGTCGAGAGCAATATGTAATGTAATTGTTTCAAGAATATTTGAAATAATTTTAAAAGGGAATTTAGTAGGCAAAAAAGATTCTAAAAAGAATATTGGTGGTAACAACGSAAAAATATTAAGTTGAAATAGAATTTGGTATCTAAAACTATATTGTAAATGTATGCTGTAAACTGTACTAAGTACATGTGTATTGTATTATGTAGGTTTAAAGTAATAAAAAAAACATATCAAACATACGAAAAAAGATAACTTATTCTAGTATAAAATAAAATAAAAACTGTCAACGAATTCCAAACAAATTGATAATATTGAAATATAAATCTTCACAATTAATATTTTTAAATAAAAATTTAAAAACTTTAGAGCTGTGAGCCAGTTAGAACTCATGCAATTTTTTTTTTTATTTATTTAAATATCTTAAAAATTTTCATTATCTATAATCCATATTTTTAATAATCATCATTGTTACACATATAATCTGTAATCAATGGCAATCGTTTATATTACGTAACAAAATAAATGAATCGATTTTTATAACTTTTATTGAAATTAGACAAGTAATTTTTGATATTGGTCGTTACCACCTATCGTTTGGTTAGCTAACGTTTATAACTTTTATTGAAATTAGACAAGTAATTTTTGATATTGGTCGTTACCACCTATCGTTTGGTTAGCTAACGTGTTTTCGTTGTTAGCACAAAATTGTCATACATATTATGTTAACGTATACACGTCAAAATAAAATTCACTTATTTCTATACTATTTTAAATTCTAAAGCTTCAAAGTAAAGATGATATTAATTTTTATAATTAAACTTAGGTATATTAATATTTTGAAGGTTGCAAACCTAGTAAAATTAATTTTATATTTATTATATACTTAGATAAGCGTCAAAATTTTAAACATGAATAATTTAACAGTTTTGCAAATTTTCGAAAAATCATTCATCTTAGTGAGATATAATAATATGGTATAACAATGATCCAAATATAAGTCATGATTTACACTTATTTATGTATTAAGACGATTAAAATAGATGATGCAAAAATTGATATTTACACGTAGGTACCTATTTGTATTTTTACTTATAAGGCACGTAAATTATACAATATTTAAAAAAATGAATAAATACATACACAATATTTTAAAACTCATAACAAATATTTCCTAAAGCTTTGAAAATATTTTTCATATTATACATTTTGAAATAAATTGTTTTGAAAAAATACATGATATATTTTACTATTTTTATGGCTATTATTTTAAGTTTTGATTTTATTGAATGAATAATATACAATAATATACATTTTGATTTCATATTCAAATATTTCTTCATAGAATTTTGATTTATAAACATTCAATTTCTAACAATGTAGAAAATTAGTTATAACTTATATAAGTTATAAGTATTAAAGTTTTAACGAATGGAGTAGGTAGTATACCGATATTTTCAGGATATCCTTCCAATGCTACTATACTCCACTCATCAATACTTATAACTAATTAACAGGTCGTTCGAAATTTTAAATATTAAGCAACTTTTCTTTTTTGGAATACACAATTTAAAAAAATGTATGCTATCAAATTATCTAAAAAATAAATAAAATTTCAGTTATTTAAGATCTTAGCAAGATATGAGTGAAAATCGTGATTCAGCGTGACTCTACAAAATTAATCTAGTATACATTTTTTTTTTTAGGTTTGATCATTTTGATTTCTCGATTATTATTTTTCTKATTTATTTCTGGGTGCATGTAATACTAGGGGATTTTAACAGCAGACGATGTTCCCCACGGAGTTGTTTATATTAATTTAACCGATTATTTATTTACCTATTTAAATATAATAAGTTATTAGTTATTACTAATATTTAATAATTTATAGTTAAGATKTATGAAGGTTTAATAATTTAAAAACAAATAGTATGTCAGGCGTCAGTGCACTAGTAGTTTACTTTCTCTAGCCTACGCATGACATATAAAATTTGCGTTTAGCAAAATCAATCTTGCGTCGTAAGCTTTGGTATTAGTGTGAATCAACTTATTATCAAACTTCAAGTTAAGAACAATGTGTAAGTATGCTGGATTTTATGGGGTATTTCAATTTTAAAGTTGGATATGAGCATTTTTAAATTGCAATATTTTACATACTCGGAATTCGCGTGAAAATTGAAATATCACTAAAAAAAATCCATTGTTCATATACAAATAATATGCTTGAATTAAATTTTGATGATAAGTCGATTTACAGCAATATTAAAGCTAAAAATACGAGATAGAACGCAAATTGAATGTGTTGTGTCCGATCGGAGAGAAAAAAAGGAAATAGCAATAGTGCGCTGASGACATTGACCTTAGGAAAAATAAATGAACTGTAAGTGCATAATATACAATTATTTAATTAATATATTGTATTTTACATTTACACAGCTTTATTTACGGGCTTTTAAATAAACTTCATCTTAATTATAAATATACTATTGTACATCATGAGTGCTGTAGCTATTAATAATCAATTCATAAATAAATAGGTTACATAAAATCATATTGAATAACCTATATGAACACAGGTGATCCCTCAACATTACATTAGTTATACAATATGTTGATAATACTATCAGTATATTAGGCGATAGCATATGTATACCTATATTATTATTTTTATAATTCATGTTATTAATAAATCTAAAAAATGAAAGCTGATATCCAAATGTGGAAATATCCACGTTTATAAAATTCTAGATTAATATTTTATATGACCAAGAGAAAAATAATTTATAAAAAAGATATGCATAATTTTAAAACCCCTACATTAATTGCTTCACACAGAATTTAAAATCGAAACTTTTTATTTCCATACCTTACTATATAGCACAGGCTTTTAAGTTTTTTAATTCTGAATATTTTATGACTAATGTTTTTCAACTTTTTTTAAATAGACACTCACATTACTGTACTTGATATTTATTAAATTAAACATCTCTTAATTTATAATTTAAAAAATACGTAAAATAAAATATTTAAATTTACAATATTTTGTTACAATATGTGGAACTAACTAAAAAGCGAATCCAACTATCATTTTGAGTTATGAGCATCTGAASGTGTTCGAATCAAAACCATTCGATGGCAAACAAATATAACAATATTAATTAAAAATGAATGGATAATGATTCAAGCATAGTTGAAAACAATAATAATAATAATTAATTAACCTTGTTCCGTGTACTCTTTGGCGTCGGCTGCGTGCGAACAACATACATTACCACCTGAAAATGAATAGCAGAAATATAATAATAATAATAACAGGTAATATGAGTAGTTAAATAAAACGGTCATCATGACACAGGGTATAACAATAATACCCATAATATAATATTGTTATGATAGTCTGAAGATGTGTTATGCGAGAAAATACCGCGAATGACTGGATTTTGCGGTCGGCAGCAGCGGTTAAAGTTTGCACCGCCGGCAGTTTATTATCATCTAAACTTTTCAGTTTCTTTGTGTGTATTTATTTTTTATTTTTTCAAGACACGCCGGTGTGTGAGTTCACGAAAAACCCGGTACGATTTATTGCGTGACATTTAGACCGCGTTTTTTCCCCTAACACCGACACACCGTTCGCTCTTTTTACACTATATACTACCTATCGTCGTTTTCTTTCACTTAATCTGTGGAAATTACTTTGTTCTTGAGTAAGTCGTTCGTTTCAATTTAGAAAATTTCTACAAATGAGCCACCACCGCCACCACCGACAAACCTAACAATATTTTCACTTTCGCGCGTGTTCCCTCGTCAAAGAAGTCGCCTCGTCGCACTTTCCCAGTAAGTATCTCTAGTACGATACATACAATATTATCGTTTCCTCACTTGGCTGATACACAACGTGGCATCGATGGCAAGCCACCAATTAAAGCCAATGGGTGCTAAATTATATATCATTATTTCATATAAAAAATTCAAAAGCCAATATGATCAATTTTTTTTCTCGAGTTTCTTTTTTTCTGATCCTAAGAGTTTTACTCTGTTAAATTTGAAGTTTATCACTTTATCACATTGCATGCAAAAGCGTAGATTAAATAGAGCCATGCTTCATGTCCTTGATAATATTAACTGAATACATTCTATTTACACGTCTTGACTGTACTATACTCTAAAAAGATAATGTAAAAACGTTAGGGGTATATAATGTCTTATAATATTGATGAGTTATCAAAGTAAAATATATGTAAAATATATTTTTTAATTTTTAATCAGGCGTGAATTAATAATTTGCACCATCAATAACGATGTTTTTTTTTTACAAAACATATTTTTTATTTACTATTCAATCAATTCGTTAAATGGGGAGTATCTACCTACTAGTACTCAACCACAGCAAGCTACAATATACYAAGTTTCATTAACGTGAATGTGCCAGACGAAGATTACAAAACTAAGATATGTAAACGGTAGCGATTTTATTTACGAATAAAAAAGATGATCGTATGTAGATCTGAAATCTCTGGAATCAAGGAGCTCAAACTTGCAATAATAATCAGCATTATCTAAGCCACTGTGTTCACGAGTTTTACCCTTAGACACTGAAATTCGGCTCTTTTGTGTAAATATTACATGACTATTCACTGGACATCGTTGATGACAACCAACCTAATAAACACGTCATATTTTCTGGCATAGGTTACCGAAAAAACAAATCACCGTTTCATAATTATATATCTATGGTATACGGTAGGTACATAACATTGTAATCGGCACCTTTATTACTCAATATCTACTAAGTTTATCGCATTGCATCTTAATATCCACAATCACAAAATATACTTATAATGAGCAATAACAAAACAAAATCAGAATTCGTTCTGTACAGTCGATGTTCAAAGACTAATACCTAATATTATTATCATTGAAGTTAATATTTTAATAATAGGTAGTCGTTAAAACAAGCCAATTTTAATGTAACTACACGTTTTCCATAGGTTGTCTAAATATAATATATTTTTTGTACGAATTTTCAGTTTTAAAATTATATTAGATGCTTGTTTTGTATGACATTACATTAGGTATTTACTTGGTATATGTATAATTTTAATTTAGCATTAAACTTATAATAATATACTTTTTGTACGTATGCGTATTAATTATTCTTGTCTAATCAATGTGTTCCGTAATTGTAGATTTTTAGCAAAACTATAGGTTGATAAATGTTGATTTTACAATGATGCGTGTTTTTTTGTGCCTGTCTTTAATTTTTGAGATTTTGTAACTATTCGATCACAGACATTATAATTATTTTATATCTTACGAACTAATTCCAATAAGGCACTACAAAAATATGTACTTACACAAGATTTAATTTTGGTGTATTAAAAGTAGGTTTAGTATGTTAATATCAAATAGTGTTCTATAATATATTTTTTTTTAAATAGTCGGTAAAAATCAAAAATAAAACAGTGAGTATTAATTTTCGGCAAAGTTTTAAACCATCATATGATTTCCCTTGAGTATTAAGTATGTTATTTACGGTCGTATTTTTTCCCCGCAGACGAATGATATTCAAAGGACATAATAATTTCATTATTTTTTCCCCATTTTATACGAAGTTCCGAAAACTTGGAAGACGCTATAAAGAATATGTGATACATGTAGTCGACTCACGTTAGAGTTAAATAAAAAAAAAACCAAGGATAGAGTGCATAATGCGATTTATAGTGCCTTTACCTTTGTAACGATCAAGTTGATTGCATTACGAGTAAAAACTGAAAAAAAAATCATCCAGCAACTTAATGTGTTTGTTTTGGCACCTTCATAGAATGATATCAGCATTTCATAAATATTTAAAATTCAACGTTGACTATTACGTAAATTTTAATAAGTTGGTAAATTTTGAGTAAATCGACAATGTTTTTTTTTTTTTTTTAGAAACTTTTTCAAATAATAAAAAACACTAACATCATCACCTTAAATTTAAATGATTAGAAATATATTTTCAATAATACTTATAGAAAAAATCGTTTTTAGATTTTTCTAGAAGTAGAGATTCAAAACACCAAATTATAATGTTGAAGGATAATATCACAATATCATTAATGCGATTTTGATTGCGMTAAACAAGCATATTTAATATAACGGAGGTATGCTTTCAATGTTTCAAATAGAATAAAATTATACAATCCTTATTTGCAGTGATTACTAAAATCCGCTAASGTGATGTTTTGGCACAAAACATAAAAAACTTAATATGTTTGTTATATAATTATTATCGTATTATTATTTAATACCTAATAATGATTATGGTGTTTATAATCAAATAAAAACTTAACCAGCCGAAGAAAACTACAAACATACATTACAATATTTTAAAAGTTTTATTTATTTACAATGATTTACCGATTACTTATATAGTACTTGTATTAAATATAAATTTGAAATCGAAACAAATAGTCGCTGTGACGCATATTATCACTAACAAGTAACAACCTACAACAGTAGTTCAATGTATAAGTGATAAAAACTCGGATAAAATTTAAATCATTTTAACAGTGAAGCGCATATTTCGCACCTATTAATTGAACAAAGTAAATTGATTTGWGTGAAAATTATAAGTGTATATAAAAATGTGGTCAATTTTTCACAGTTTTAAAATTGTCTTACAAGAGTAGTTTAAACTTTAGTTCTTATCATACGTGTAAAAGTTTGYGGTAAGTAACTTCAAGTCAGTAGTCGTTACAAAGTTTTTGTAATCCAGAGTTGTTAGTAAGTACATACTACTCTTGTTAGCTGATTAAAATAATCGATGTGGAAAAAGCCTCTTTTTGGATTTCTAATAATCGCAGAAAATGTGTGAAAGGAAATACAAAAATCATGACTTACTGTCGTACGTTATGACGAAACACAAACAGCACGCGAACGCGATCCACGTCGCGCCTAGAGAACCGGCGTTCACCATGATTATGGAGCTGAGTGCAGGACCACCGACCGACGAATACTAACATGCTTGTGTAGCCTAGATTGAGTATACCACTATCATACCTACTACCATAGTGGTTTTAAATAATATTATATAGCAATTACCAACGAACCGGTTTTGATTTCGCTCAGCTCGCAAACACTTCGATCATTATGTAAACAAATATCAATGATGATAATCAAATGTAGTTTATATTACGAGTACATAGAGTATACATACATAAAAATAATGTAGGTACTGATAATAATGTTTTTTTTTTTCAATCTGATAACATATTATTTTAATAGAAGTGAATAATAAATAGGTAATAAAAATTGATAAAAAATAAAAAAATAATACAAAACCGATTATCATAGTTAACATTATTGCCTATTAAACCTATCAAACACTGCAGCGATCCAACCAAATCCATGAATAACACAATAAAAATAATAATGTACAACATCTCGTTTAAACAACTCAAAAATAAGCAACACTTACGGTATATGAGAAAAATGATGTTAACTTAAGTTCTATACGTCATCGTCATTAGGCAAGCCAGTTTTTGTTTAACGACCTACATTTCATTATTAATTTAATACGCCAACTATAATTTTTGAGTTCAGCAATTTTATGTTGTACGAATGACTATATTGTAAAAATGCATTTAAATWAAAATAAACTTAGTTTTTGGTTCGATAACAACMGTTATMAAAATTCGACATCGCATTAATAAACCGTAAAAATGAGTTTATAACCATACTATATGGTCAAAAAGTCGTCTTTACATAACCTAACTCAACCAGATTCTTACAATTTCTCTTTGAGTTTTCAATATAGTAGTGAAGAGTGAAGACCAAGCTATTGGCCCAATTTACCTTAATTTATCAAGGTTTCATAATTTTTCATAGTTTTTTGGATAAAAATTCTAAATAGCTAACCTRATCGTGAAATTATTTGAGTATGTTGTCCATTGGATGTCCCTGAATGAATTTCGATATTGATTATTAGTCAAATAATATTGAGCGTAGCTTATTAATACCAAAAAACAATTATGAAATAATATAATGTCCTTATGACATTTTGTAAAAATATTTTAGGTATAGGTCATTCAATTTCATCGAAAAACCAACAACTGTTATGAATATAAAATACTCAATTGTAAATCMTATTTTATTTAAATGTGTTGATGAATCAAATACCTAAAACTTATACCGAATTTATATTCATGTAAATATCATTATTTTTCAAAGAGCATATTAAACATATAATTTAAAAGTACAGTATACATATTATAGTTGATTTKTATATTTTCTTAACMTTTCATTAATAAATACTCTTTTTATAAGTTTTCCAATATTAATTCTTGCTAATGAAGCAGAAATATAGTTATAACATCACTTCTTAAATAATTTTGAATCGTATGAATTAATTTTTAATTGGATATAATATAAACACTTTTTAATTAAACTGATGGTACGATTAACTTATTCAAAATATTTAAATAAAAGTATTTTAATATCTAAAACTAAAGTTTAGAGTTTTAAACAAACTTCCAAAGTTTAGTCCATTTGGAAAGTAAATTTAAATAAAAATAGCAAAAATAGATAAATACAATTCAAAGTTTAGTCCATTTGGAAAGTAAATTTAAATAAAAATAGCAAAAATAGATAAATACAATTTTTCAGTACAAATTATATTATTTAAAATTAATTATAAATTTTAATTATAATACTACCCTTTAATTATGTAATTATGTTCTGAATTTGCATCTTCTGCGAACATATTTAGACTTCAAACAAAAATTATAAAATTTAAAACATATTTCTACAGTATATTATGATCACATAACAATTTACACTGCCTACTATAAATAATTTCTATCACCCTATGAATACAWACCTTATTCACGTGTGGTTGTTAAAAGGTTAACTGACAACAACTAAAACTATATTTTTATCAAATGAACGACCAAATAGAACTTTTAAAATTATTTATTAATCAAATGTTTACTCTTTACTACAAMAATATTTACATTAAATTATACAAGTATAAGTAAAGAGCATAATTAAATTTGTAAATTTATACTAATACTGTAACTTAATAAATACTCTTTAAATTAAACTGTATAAAGTTTCAACACGATCTCATTAATAATTTTAAAATATCACTTAGAATTGATTAATAAAATATTTACTTAGTAATATTAATTCTACTACGCTTTCATGAGTAAGTTCAATTAATCACCAAGTAATGTTTATGGAAGTTTTGATCAATTTTCTTGTAGTTAAAATCTACAAAATATAATATATTTAAATAAAAAAGTTTTTTAAGTGTTCAAAAAACCAAAAAATAGAATAAAATCACCGTTTTGGTTTGGGTTTCAGCCGTCGGAGACGGGAAGTTACTGAGGTCAGTTATTAAGTCTTACTTAGTGGGATTTACGCTACGKGAAGCCATGTTGTTGTGACCCGGAACACATCGTAGGGTCGGGCGGTGAGCTTACGCGAGGATTTGTGCTGGATGTTCAACAGTTAATAATTTACYCACAGATGCTCCGACCGGATAAATTGGYAAATGTGTCTCGATCGAAATACATTTGTTTCTACCGCAGTACCGCAGATAAACAAACACGTAGAAACGCCGTAAATAGTTTATGTTTCGAATCGAGTCACTTTAACCGTTCACCCCAAATCAGGATAATTATAATCATAATCATTTGTTTATTTGATTGTATTTAACCTTTGAATGTGTATCGTGCAAGATTCTTCTAATAATAATGACATTGGGTTAATCTCGTTCTAGTATAACGTATTTACCAACTTGTATCATAATATTTTGAAAATAAAACGGTTAGCAACAGAGTTATTTAAAACATTAAACAAAGTGATAAACTGTTCACAAAACATTTAGTCAAATTCTAATTTTTTAAATTTTGTGAGTATAGTTAAAGATCGTATTTTTAGCCTCCTTCTTAGAGTTTTGACCAACCCTTAGAAATTCGTGGAACACTTTTAAATTTCTCTTTTCCAAATGAGAACCATCATTTTTTGTGTGGGAAATGGGAGGGTAGTAATGTTGATGTATCTAAATCGATATTCGAACGAAAAGTTGTTGAGTTATTAAAACGTGTGTGAATTTTGACTAGTTTGAAGTTTGCGCAAAAGGYTTAATTTCTAACAAGTTAGGATGCATTTGTATTTGTTCTTAAATTTATAACTTGAATTTTATTTAACATTTTAATAAAATAATATTATTATAAAGATTGTCTATCATGACTATTAATTTAAATATTCAAATTAAGTTATTATACCTATGGAATGTGAATTAAATTTCTTTAGCCATTAATGCTTGAATTTCAAAAATGTAGTATTCTATTTCATAAATAATTCTCACTTTAAAATGCACAAAAAAAGTTTATTTTTGACATATATAGATTATTAACATTTTTTAAATGTCAAATTGATTTTAACATTTAAAAGAATTTAAATTGATTTAATCCAAACCTAAATGTTGAATTCAATTATATTTTAYGTAACGAAGAAATAATATTTTAAATTATAATCGAAAAATTGATCGATTTGCCGATTCATTAAATTTAATAACTTTTTAGTATAACTCACATTATATTTATATATCTATATAATAATTTAAACAAACATATTAATTATGTGCCTAATCATTGAATCTAATAACTTTTTCATTTTAAAATTATATTTTATAACTATATTGTATGCGTAGGTACACTATAATACTATTTTTATCTTGGTAATCTAAACGTTAACTTCTGAGTAAATATATATAAATAATAATTTTGAATGTACTATGATTACTTTAAACGTAAATMTAATATATGTACATACCATGTATTAATGTATAACTACCTAACGTCATAATATTTTTTAATTAAAATTTAATAATCTCATCAAGTCTATTTATAAGTGTACATATATTCCATCCAGAAATGGTTTTTTTCAATTTGTGAAAAATTAAAACCAAATAATTCAAGCAACCCACAACTTTCAAATTTCCTGAAAATAATAAATTATACAATTTGGGGTTTAAATTTTAATAATTTAGTGCACCCAAGTATTATTTTTTTTTTTTTTTAGAAGTAATCTATAAAAATTGAATGGGTACACCATAAATGTGATAATACTATAAAAGTATACAAACAACGAAGGAAACAAATAATCTAATTCTTATAGGTAAGTTTTTCGTACGTTAAACCGGTTAAGTTTTAATGTCCAACTATTACTATTATTTTAATTTTATAAACTTTCAAATTTATGTAGGTACAATGTACTATTCTCTATGTGCYACACAAAGTATCCAATTCCATTTTTTCTCATAGCACTGGTTATAAATCTACTACGTATAAGTCAAATAAATCACACGCACTTTTATGTGAGTAGCATAGAGTTATTATAAATTGTATAAACAGAATCTAAATCTAATCGTAAATATTAAAATACAGAAATCACAAATGAAACTACCTATTATATGTCTTGCAATGAGATATTATTTAAAATATTATGTTTTTTTTTAATATACAGAAATAATTTATTATAATTATATCATGCTTTATATCTTTATTTTTTTCACTCCTCAAAACTTTTAAATTGTTTTACTTGTTGATGGTTTAACCTTTATTACCAAATTAAAATGTTTAAAATACAAGACTTAAATTAACTCGAAAAAAACACTACAAACTAAATAATTAAACAATAAATAAACAATAATTAAAAAAAACAAGTGCAAAAACTGTATTTATAAGTAATTTTAGTAAGATATTTTGTATAACTTGTTCGTTAGTGAGAATTATAATTTATTGTATGATTGGATATTATAATAATATGTTTTATGTATTTTGTACAGCTTACATTTACGCTAATATCTCCATTCAAATAAATTATTTAAATTTTAAAACTAAAACAATGAATTAACCTTTAATGAATTAATAATGAGCTATTGGTCCCTTAAACATGTCGGTTTAGTGGCCCGTGATTGATTCATTAAAATGTATCAAATTTTAGTGCAGCAACTCAGCATATCAGT